TCTCCCTTGTTCAGGCCAACTGTTCCTGTGGGTTTCTCCAACCTGGTACAGACCCCTTCATTCTTCATTCCTCCCTCTCTTCAACTAAATTCCCGATTTCGGCTCAGTGTATATCTGTGGATGTCTGTCTCTGCTTCCATCAGCCACTGGATGAGGGCTCTAGGATGGCATAAAGAGAAGTCATCAATCTCATTTTAGGGGAAGGGCATTTAGGTTATCCTCTCCTCTATTGCCTGGATTGTCAGATCGTGTCATCCTTGTAGGTCTCTGGAGATCTCCCTAGTCCCAGATCTCTTCTCCGACCTACAGTGGCTCCCTCTGATATGGTATCTCTCATCCTGCTCTCTCTCCTCTATTCTTCCCCCTAGGGCAGATATACAGGTGCTTGGCATCAGCCTCTGTTCCTCTGCAACACTGCCCAGGACTTTTAACTGCTGAGCCATCTCTCCAGCCCCAAAACTGAGGAATTTATTTCAACCATTGACCCCCATTTCCAAATTTGGGGAAAAATCCCCAATAACAAGGCGTAGAGTAAAGGAGTACAAAACAATAGAACAGGAAACAACAGCTGGTACATTCTGTGTTGAGGTACAGACTCACAGTAAATTAAAAAAAAATAATGTAGGGAGCCAGGCATTGGTGTCTCACGGCTTTAATCCCAGCACTCAGGAGGCAGAGTCAGATGGATCTCTGTGAGTTCAAGGCCAGCCTGGTCTACAGAGTGAGTTCCAGGACAACCTCCAAAGCTACACAGAGAAACCCTGTCTTCAAAAACCAAAAAAAAAATTAATGTAGGAGCTTTGTGTACCTCCCCACTGTTCTGTGCCAATATTAAAATTGACAAAAGTGCAGTGTCATGTCTTGATCATGACAGTGGCCATAATAAAAGTAAAAAAAGACAGATCAGCAAGTTAAGGCATTTGCTATCAAGACTGACAACCTGAGTTCAAACCCAGGGCCTACATGGTGGAAGGGGAAAACCAACTCCTGCAAGCTGTACTCTGGTTTCCACACATGTGTACACACATGGGCCCACACACCATAAATAACCAAAGCGTGATATTTTTAATTTACTTTAATCAAATTGGTGTGTTCCATAGCACTTTCCACAACCTGTTAACTTGAGTATCCCATTGGGATCACTGCAAATAAAGATAACGCACTACTTAAGCTCTCCCCAATACCTCCATATTCCAATTTTAACCACGCCAGCAAGCCCAGACA